AGGCGGTAAAGGGGAGGAGGTCCAGCATGTCTGCCGCACAAGGGCTGATGGGGCTGCAGGCGGGCTTCCTGGGGCAGGCTCGCAGGTTGGCTGGGTGCTGGTGGGGGTTCTGCACCGAAGGAGCCCCCAACTTACGGCCTCCCGCGCCTGCAGCCCGGTTCTCCAGTTTATTCCTCCAAGTGCCAGGACTGCACCTGCACTGAGGCCAAGAACAGCAGCAGCGGGCTCAACATCATCACCTGCACCCACGTGCCCTGCAGCACCTCCTGCAGCCCTGTAAGTGACTGCCAGCCTCACCCTGCACCTGCCTCCGTCTACCCTCAGGACACCACCTGGCCCTGCCCTCCTCTTTCCAATGCCATTCTACTCCGTCCCCACCTCTCCACCCCGACACCTGTCTGGGCAGGCCTCCTCCGGTGCAGTGCCAGTGGCCCCAAGGGCCTGTGTGGCCTGGAGACAGGACCGTGGGCTCAGCCAGCAATTTGTGTTGCAGGGCTTTGAACCTGTGGCGGTCCCTGGCCAGTGCTGTCCGAAGTGCGAGCAGACCCACTGCGTCATCAGCCGGCCCCACGCTCAGCACCTCATCCTAAAGGTATGCACAGCTGCCGCTGGCCGGCCGCGGCCCCACCCGCTGGCCTGCCTGTGGCCGAGGCCCAGGCCAGGGTGCCCCTGCTCTCCTGGCTAAGTCCTCCACGCCCTGCACAGCCCTGCCCCACCGTTGCTGCAGCCACTCCCCACGTGGGTGGTAAAGGCTGCAGAAATGAGCTCTCCCCGTTCCGGAGCCAGAAACCCCGGCTCGAGGTGTGGGTGGGGCTGAGCTTTCTCGGGGTGCCCTGGGGAAGGGTCCAGGCTCCCTTTGGCTTGTGGCCATGCCACCCCAGTCTCCACCTCTGTCTTCACGGCCTTCTGCCTTGTGTCACTCTTCTCTTCCAAGGACATCTGTCACTGGATTTAGGGCCCGTCCTCACCTTGGGCTCCTTCACTTAACTGCATCTCCAAGACTGTTTTTCCAAATAAGGTCACAGCTGCAGGTTCAGGGACTTAGAAGGTGGACATACCTTTTTGAGTGACGTGGACTATACCGGGTGCTTGTCCCTGGGGCCCCCGGTATTGCTTGTCCGGTGACGCGGGTCGGCTCTCCTGTCTGAGGAGCGCAGTGGCCAGGTGTCTCTCCTCTGTCCTCCTGGTCCATCTCCGGGCCGGCCTCTGAGGGCTGCCTGCTCGCTCTCACCCAGACCCTCTGCCCCACAGCCTGGCGACATAAAGCACGACCCCACCAACAACTGCACGTTCTACAGCTGCGTGAAGATTCACAACCAGCTCATCTCGTCCGTCTCGAACATCACCTGTCCTGACTTCGACCCCAGCGTCTGTGTCCCGGTGAGTGGGCCGCCGGGGGCACTGGCTGTGTGCTCTGCCGGGGTGGAGGGGCCTTGACGGCCCGAGGGGGCTGGGTGCCCAGTGCTGGGAGGCTGGCCTCTGGCCTGGTCTGTGGCTGGCTCAGAAAAACGCCCAGGGCTCCTCTTCA